TTCCCCTGGGCCAACAAGGCAGTTCCAGGAGACATTGGCCATGCCTCGCTCCAGGTGACATCCAGCCTCTTCTGCCTTGAGGGAAGAGTGCAGTAGGTCAAAGCAGAAGTTGACCTGGTTTCCATTCTACGCCTCCATGCCGGTGCTGTTGGGAAAGGCAATTACACAGCAGAGCAGGTTGCCAGCCTAGGGTTGCTCAAGACTTCTGGGGACACTAGGCAAAGGATGAGTCCTCCAGCTGAGACAGCAGAAGGAATTTTAGGGAGCCAGGTTATAATTAGGCATCTGGAAGTTGACCCAGGCTTGCTGGCAGTTGCAAAAAATGCTCTGGTGTCTCCAGCCCATAAACAAAAGTGAAGCTACAGTATGCCTGGTAGGAATGGCCCTTCCTGTGTGTCCCAGCACACCTACAGAGTGATGGATCTTCCGTGCTTTTAAAAGTCTAGATTTTTTCCACAGACAGGATCACAGGTCTCCCTACTTGGGCTCAGGAAAAGCAGTGGAAACTTCCCATGAAAGCAGCCCGTAATGGAATTCATGGTGAGAATACAGCAGGGCAAAGGGCCTTGGCCATCAGGAGGCCATCATGAAGGCCCTCGCTGAGTGCATGGTGAAGAATTTGATCAGGTAGATCTAAGAGCACTGGTTGAACAAGGACRGTCAAGGAGCAAGGTTTGTGGTGGTCTTCATTCACTGATATGGGCAAAGAAGACTGTGAGGGCCATGGGCCATACAGTGAAGGTGCAGACTGATAGGACACCAAACAGCTAAGAAGAGCCTTGTGGTCTGCACAGCCTGTGTGTCTGTTTGCATCTGCAGAGTGCCCTGGGTATTTTCATCTCGGGCGATGCCTGAAGATGAAAGGTTTGCAGGACAGGAGACCCACATGCCTACCCTKCATTCCTTCACCAGCATAGACCTCGCCTTTCTGCTCTGGCAGGCTGTGGCACATGTGTCCTCCAGCTGGGTGGTATAAAGCTTCTTAGGACTTGCTTTTTGTTTCGTATGACCACCATGAGCTCCCCTGCCACAAGGTGTGTATCTGAGATGATAGCCCTGTGGACAGAGAGGATGGAGCTAACGTGGGCAATCACTTTGGAGAGTGATAGCAAAGGCTCTTTCTAGCTGGAACAATGTCCCATGGAAAGGTCTTACAGAGAACAAATTTAGGGTGGAAAAGGGAAGAGGGGGCATCCTCCAGCAGAAGCTCTGTAAAAGATCCCGTTAGGTCCCTGCTATAGTTGCCCTAATGTCAAATAGCTGAACAGTTACAGAAGAGAATGGTAAACGTCGCAGTAAATCAGGCTGGGCTTGACCATGGCGTCCTAGGCACACCGACCTTCTGGCAAAACCAAGGTAGGGTCCAGGGTAGAGGCTGAGGCCCGTGGGTTTGCAGAGTCTTGGGAGATGGGAGCCCAGTCCAACTGTGTGAATGAATACCTAGGACAGAGGATGTGGCTTTCAACTATCWTAAGAGCAAAAGAGCGATCATCAGGCTGTAGGATTTCTTGTTGAAGGCCTGGATTGTCCATCTCCAGAGTACCACAGGTGATACAAGCAAAATGAAGCCTATCATGTGATTCCCTGAAGACCTGTGGGACACAAGCCATGAAGGCATATGTCACTCTGGGGTGTCATGCATGTGGATGCCATGCCCCCTCGTGGTAGCAGAAGTCAACCAGGAGGATGCATGGACGGGGAGATGCACCAGCCTGGCAAGGTGCACTTGGACTCCTCAGGCATGGGAAGCTTTGGGCAGATGTAATGGGTCATCWCAGTTGACCGCGCCAGGACACAGTTGGAGCCAGAGCCGTGCAGAAGTTCAGCCCAAACACAGGCAAAGGTGGCATCAGGGAGACGCTTGGGRTAACCAAGACTAGCCTCAATCAGCCTGCAAGCTGGGAGCAGCCTCCTCCAGAGCRATCCTGGGAGGACAGTCACCTAGAGCATCCCAATGGCAGCTTCACTTCAGGAGCCTTGGGCCCCAATCAAGCCTCATGCAGGCCTGCAGTGACCCCTGAGCCTGCYCACATTCGTGAAAAAGCCTTGTGCTTGCAACCTCCTCCTCTTTCCTTCTCATGAGGGGGACAGGATGGGACTTAGGGTATTTTTTTTGACATGATTCACTCGCATTGCGGCCAAGCCAAGTTCTTCAGGCGCCTTTCAAGGGCAGTGTGTGCCTGGGGCCAGACTGGGAATCCTGGAAATGTTACCAAGGCTGTAAAGCCAAAAACRGTCGGGAAAGAAAATAAACATGGTCTGGCGGAGGCCTTCACTGAGGACACAACCTCCCGGGCTGGACATGCACGGCGTGGTGGTGAATCCCTTCTCAGGTGGCCTGTGGAGCACCGAGMCCGCTGTGGAAGAGCACAATAGCACTCTCCTCTGGGTAAAGGGACTTCCTAGAAAGGATTGCTCCGCTGATTGTGGTCACATTCCTGCTCCGTGTGCAGGTGAGCCAACCACATCCGATGCTCTGGCTCCAAGGGTCCATTGACTTCTGGTTTTCTTTCCCAGCTGAGCACAGACGGATGCTCTGGAGTCCTGAGCCCCTAGAGCATCTATCCCTGGGCGCTGGTGCCACTTTGCTCTCAGAGCTACACACCGAGGCCAGGAGTGAGAAGAGCTGTGCTGGATCCTTCAGCATCCCTTGGTTCAGCACGGGACATGCAGCTCTGGACCTCAGAACTCTGCTGTCTCCAAAAGCACCTGGGGAAACCTCACAGGCAGCTCAGCTGGTAGCTGTGGCAGATGGGCACTACCCAGCTCCTCCTAGGACCCACCTGAATCTAAAGAGCACTTCCCAGGAGGGAGAAGCCCCCTTGCAGAGGTTAACCAAGAGGAAGAAGCTGCCAAGCCAGATGGAGTTTTTCTTCATTTTTGAGACTTGCTGTGCTGGATTCATTGCTGGAGGCAACACCAGGGCAGCRGTTAGGTGGAGCCGCTGTGATGGATGACATGCTGCAGTTCCCAAAGGCCTAGGCCATGRGGGAGAGTGCTTCAAGCCCAGCAACAACTGTGCCCGCACCCTGGGTCACGCTCTATGCCCYGGGGCAGAAAGGTTTCCAGACTCTTGCTACTGTTGGCAGCAGTGGCGGCAGCTCCACCAGAGCAGAAGGGCTGGTCTTCTACGTACCCAAGAGGTTCTAGAGATGGTACCCAAGCTGGGTTTGCAGGACCCATGTGGAGCACTGCCACATGCTCAGCACCCGTTCCTGACAGCCAGCGTGGCTTCTAATCCATGCTGTGGGTGATGTGAGCTGTGCTAGGCCAAGAGATGTCCTGTCTGGACATCTCCCAGGCCCTACAAAGGCTGCGTTCCTGGAAAATTCACCTTGTGAACTAGCCCCTAGCTGCTGAGCACACGTAAATGGAGACCTTTTTTTCTGGAGGCTTCCTGCTTACCCACCTGCTATTTGCAAGGGGCCTGTGTCTGCCAGGCCCTGCACTCCCTGCTCCAGGAGGGGGAAAGTCCAGCCTCAAACTGTGCCATGTAACATCAGCTCTGCTTGGCTCCTTGTTTGGGTTAAAAAAGAAAAAAAGAAGAGTTTTGCAAAGGAGATGCTGGATTTGGGAAAGTGAGTTTGTTGAGACAGGGATGCTGCCGTTGCTGCCCTTGGGTTTATCGCAGCGTGGCCTTGCTCCCGATCCAACCAGCCCTTGAGACTGCGGCCTTGAGACAGCCCCGTGCCGGGGCCCGCCGCAGCCTTCAGCCTCGCCTGGCGGGGTAGCCCCTCGCCGAGGACCGGGAATGTGCTGTCCCTGTGCGCAGGGGGGCAGCTTGGGCCCTGCCCGCTGACCGAGCCGGGACACGGCGGCTCTGCGGTGGCGCCCAGCACGGTGCTGGTTTAGTGCATGGAAAAGTACCGCTGTGGGAGGCTCCCCAAGGAACAGGGTGCTGCAGGACACCGAGAGGCTCGGAGGGGAAAGCAAGGCAGTCTTCAACCCAAATCTCTGCCTGTCCTTTCACACTTGAGGAGCACGGGGACCTTTTGCAGGGTGGCTGGGGCCCTGGACAGCACCGGGTGCCCATGGCAGCCACAGAGCCATGCTGAGAGCTTGGCTGATACGTGGCAACAGGGTAGCAGGAGAGGAGAAGGACTCACTTTTCTTCATCTTCCTCATCCCTGTGGTTTATGAGCCAGGCTGTAGCCCCTGAAAGCACTGCCAGGGAATGGGGAGGCATGGGTCAAACGGAGGCTGCCCTTTCCAGGCCGGTGTGGGCAGCGGGACCTGGCACAGCAGTTCCTGCCGTGCCGTGGGGCGCTGGAAGCGTCGTGGTGCTGGCTGCACTCCCACCACAACTGCGGCCTCTCCAGTTTTCCATGGCAGCGTGGTCTGCAGGCAGGAGGCAGATCAACACGGGGCTCCTGCCAGGCCAGCCCCAGCACACACCAGTACGGGCACCATTGCCAAGGCTGGGCACAAGGAGGGCAACAAGGGAACTGCCTCAGGGGAGGCTGCCCTGCCTTCCCYGTGACTCCTGCAGGGCACGGGGGGCTTAGGACCAGCCTCCCATCCCAGGACATGCGGCCAGCAGCAGATACATCCACAGGCAACGCACATCCCATGCCCTGCTGCCCTTGTGGGGTGCTGGAGGGAGCACTGACCCTTCTGTTTCTCCCCTTGTCTCTGGTGGACCTGCATCCTCAAGAGCCCCTTTGCCTCCAGCCCACGTGCCAGGGCAAAAAACACCCACGCCAGCCAGCAGCAGTGTCATTACTTTATTGCCACAGCGGCCCTGGGCCAGACCCACCTTCTGCAGAGGGTCTGGGTCCAGCCCCTTGCCCCCTCTAATACTCTTCAGAAAGCAAACCCTGAGCCTCAACGTGCACGCACTCGGTCCCTGAGCTCGTGGCCGCAGCCATGTCACGCAGCGCACGCCGTCCTCCATCGTCTACGCTAGATGCAGGCTCCAGGTGCTCTGCGGCAGCTCCTGGGACATCACTCCCATGCGGCCCTCCAAAATTCCTGGAGCTCAAGGCCACGGAGGAAAAGCAAGGTCAGGCCACGGGTGCAGACTGTGTTGGCCCTGGGAAGCGCATCGCTGGTGGCATCAGGTGCAGCAGTGCTGGCCCAGCACTTGGCAGAGGGCCGTGTCCTGCCCTTGGGGTACCAAAGCAGGCCTGGCAGCTGAGAAGGGGAGCAGTGGGAGCCCCAGCACTGGCGGCGCGCTCTGCTCCCCCGGCTGCCTCAAACGTCCATGCCGGGCGCCTGCCCCAAGCCCAGCGCCTGCATCAAGTCGTCACTGAGCCCGCTCTTCAGGGTCCTCCTCACTGTGGGAAAAGAAGAACTTTAGACCATGCCAACAGACCCTGTTCACACCTCCCACAACAGGGAAAGACCACAGGAACCTAGACACAAAGATGGGATAGAGTATGAAGGCAGGGAAGAGGACACAGAGGCAGGACAGAGTATGGGAACATGGCAATGGAGACAGGACAGAGTGCAGGGACTGGGACACTGAGATGGGACAGAGCAAGGAGACAGGGAGAGAGTGGGGCTAGGACACGGTGTCTGCCACCACGTTGACTTACAGGACTTCCTATTGCCGCGGGACCTTTTGCGCTCCTTGTTGGCACAGGGACGAGGGTTGGGATTGTGCGTGACGGACTTGACCAAGCGGTCCATAATTTCATCGGAGGCATCGTCGGGGGAGCTGGGAACGTCCTCCTGGGCTGGGGAGCCCTGGGTTGGGGTGGTTTGCCCTGTCCCTAGGTGAAGGACATGGGGACACCAACATCAGCCACATCCAGATAGCAGGGCATCCCTTGAGCCTTGTTCCCTGAGCAGCTCCCACTTCCTTACTCTGCCACCCTCATTCCCAGYCCCAGCTCACTCCTACCCCGGCTGGCGCGGCTGCGGCGTGCGGGCGCCTCCGTAGGTGAGATCAGCATGCTCTTCATGCTCTCATGGCCTGCTTCAGCCTGCTCCCACTGCTCAGGGCTGGTGGACACCACTGCAGGCGGTGAGGCGGTCTCCGTGTTGCTGGTAACACCGGAGAATTTCTCCATCTGCAGCAGGAGGAGAGACCGGTATGAGGGAGGTGGGTGGCTGGTACCTGCCTCCTGCCAGGGCAATGTGGTGACCACCAAGCGGCCCCATACCTCGGTGATGAGCCGGCCCCGCGTCTTGTTGCGCTCCCGGTGTGCGGCTCGTTTCTTCTGCTGCTGCAGGACGCGCTCCCGGCAGGTGCGGTACTCCAGGGCAAACTCCCTCAGGAGCTTGCAGATGAGAGTCACCTTCACGTCCCGTGCAGCGCTCACCGGGTAGCCCAGGTACAGCAGGAAGGAGTGAAACCTGCCGTGATGTGGGGGCTGTTGGTCATACCGGGGGCATCACCATCCCTGGCATGGACAGACCCATGGGTGCCCCAGAACTGACCCTCACCTGGATGGACCCCTGGGCTGCGCAGGGCATTCACTGGGGTAGAGCAGGGTCAGACACCACCACTCCCTTGTGTGTCCCAGCACCTAGGTGTCCCTCCTCCATTCCCAGGACACCACCGAGTGACTGACCTGTTGAGGACACGCCTGTGCACGACTTTCAGGACAACGATGCGCTGGGTGCTGTCCTTGAGGAAGTCGGTCAGCTTGCTCTTCAGCACCGCCTTGGTCTCGTGCTTGGTGATCACCTTGAGGTTGTCCCAGGATGCCCGGCACCTTCGCTCCAGCTGCACCAGGCTGTTGGCCAGCTCATCAAAGTCGATCTGGGAGATGAGCACCCCAGCTGTCGGGCACCCTGTGCTGAGGCGGGGRGCCCGGCCAGCTGCGCAGCGCGGGATGCGCATCCTCACCCTGCCAAGTCACAGCAACGACAGAGCCAGGGGGAGGACGCCAGCAGGGGTGAGGGCTGTAGGCTCACCTTGGCTGAGCGGGTGATCGCAGCAATCTCCGAGTAGAGGTCCGTGGTTTCCGGGAACTTCTCTACCACCATTTGGCAGAGATGGTAGAGCAGGGACTGCCGGTGCACCGTGTCCTTCACCTCTGAGACCTTCTCCAGATAGCCCAGCTCAAAGCCTCTGCTCTGAAACCCCAATGGACTCAGGAGARCCCTCCAGCCTTCCTCCCACAGATGGCATGGAACAACTGGGCTCCTGCCAGCACCCATGCCACCCCTGCAGGAGATGCCCTCCCAGACAAATTTTGCTCCCTCTTAAGCACTAGGATCAGTCCTCCTCCTACAGTATTCAGACTGGACAGACCTTGCATTCCCTTATGAGCTCAAGCAGGCCCACATCCTGCTCCTCACCTGGGAGCCATTTAGGAAATTGCCCGTAGCCAGTAGTGTGGCCAAGATGCATTTGAAGGTGTGATTTTTGGCCAGCTGCTCCATGCCCATTTTCAGGTCAAACAAAGGCTCTGCAATCTCCTGGATGACAAAGAGTGCAAAGTAAAACCCCTCTCCCATTGCTTCAGCTCTTGCCCATGAGGACAGCCACCTCCCACCAGCCAGACCCACCTTCCCTTGGGGACCTGCAGCCTGTCCTTGGGCAGGACAGTGCCACCCACGCGCAGATGTGACTGCTGTCCCCCAGCAACCCAGCTCACCCCAGAGCTGGGTTGAGAGGAGACGAGGCCTTGCTCCATACCTGCTCCAGACTCTCATAGTCCAGCTTGAAAGCCCAGAGCTGGAGTCTTGCTGTGAGATCACTGATGGAAGAGAGGGCAAGTAGGAACTGCTCTGCGGACCCCAGAGGCACATCAGGGTTAGCCAGCTGGGCCTCCTGGATCTTCTGCTTCTCCTCCTCTGTTGGGACCATGGTCAGGATTTTCTAGGGCAGGCAAAAAAAGATCTGTCAGACTCCTAAGGTATCACATGTCACCAAAGAGAATGGCAAGCTGTTCATCTGCATGGTACCACATTGGCAGGACRGGCATTGTAGCACGCAGCCCACCTCATCAGCAGGGATAACGCACATGACAACCCACGTGATGACCCTGGAAGGGAAGAGATCCTGCCATGCTCACCTCGATCCCTTCCTTACTGACTGCAAACTCGTCAAAATTGAGCACAGCTGTTTTTATGATATGCACAGGAGGCAGCACCGTGAGGCCAATGTTGATGGCGTTGCTCCTCTTGGGATCCAACACCACCACCACCTTCTTCCCATCGACTGCCTTCTGCAAAGAGAAGAAGATGCAGGCTGAGAGCCAGATGAAGGCTTTACCTTCATGACAATGCCATGGGCAAGGGAGGCAGGCTAGGGGCCTGGTGGCAAGCCAAGATCTGCCCACCACCTGCCTCTGGACTGAGGGCACCATCCATGGGATTGATTAGTAGTGACAGTGCATGCATAGGAGCCAGGGTCCCCGGGCCCCACAGGACCTAACACAGCCTTCCCCCAATGCCCACAAATCCACCCACAGCTGCCTATAAACTTGCTGGTACCTTAGAAGCTGGCACTTCTTTTGATCGGGACTCAAAAAGATGCTCCAGTCTGTCAGCATTGACCTCAACTCTCTGCAGAGATGCCCACAGTGTCCCCTGGCCAAACCTGCCTGGCCCCGCGGTGTCATCCAGCTGCTTTAGCTCCTTCCAGAAGAGCTTCACTGTCCTCTTCTTTTTAGCCTGGGAAGGGCCATCTGTCACCAAGGAGCCCAGAGGCCCCAGTGGCGGTGGAGGGCAGCTGGTGATGGTGGGCGGTGGAGGTGGAGGTGGAGGGCAGCCAGGGGCTGCAGGAGGTGGAGGTGGAGGTGGTGGGCAGCCAGGGATGACAGGAGGTGGAGGTGGCGGTGGAGGGCAGCCAGGGATCACAGGAGGTGGAGGGGGAGCCATGAGGGCTCCAGCACTCGCTGCCTCAATGCCATGAGGATGGAAGGAGCCATTAGTTATGGACCCTGTGTCCAGGACATCAAAGTCTTCCTCTTCCCCCAGGTCAGTGAAGTCCAAGTCCTTGATCTTTAGCTGCACAGGGCAGGCCTCCAGGCGCTCCCAAGTGAGCTCCGAGTCCTTTTTGATGGGTGTCATCAATGTGTTCTCCATTTTCTTTGTGTGGGTCTCCACATCAATGTTTGACATGGCCCGTGCCAAGAGAGCATGGGCATTGGCAACAGGCCCATCTGGAGCCCTGTTGTGAAGCCGTGTGCTATCCTGTTCCTGGTGGCCGTGTCCCTCAACATCTTCAGCCTCCGTCTCTGCCTTGTCCTGGTGTTGGAGGGACATTGGCCCCGTGGGGAAGACCTGCTCCCGTCCTGGCTCTGAGGAACTTTTAGCATATAGCATATCCAGCATAAACTTGGTGTCGGAGGAGATGGCACTGCAGGAGTCGGGGGTATCCTGCTGGCCCGCCCAGGACCCTGCAGAGAGATGGGAAAAGGGGTGAGACAATTTGTATGGTGAAGGAAGGTGCTGCTGGGCAAAACGTAGACTTGGGGCTGGCTCCCTGGTGGGACTGGGCTTAGACCCTGGCACACAGAGTGTCATGGGTGAGAGAGATCCTCCCAGCACCTAAACAGCTCACTCATCATTAGGGCGCTGGCACCAAGAGGAGACTTTAAGATCTGCCCCAGTGATGCTGATGGGCCCATAGAGAACGGCTACGTTCATGTCACCCCCAGCCCTGCACATACTTTTGCCATGTGGCTCCGTGCTACGCTCAGCAACGCTCCTGTTCCCATCCCAAGCAAGAGCAAGAGGATGCTCCTGCGTAGCATCGCTGAGGATATCGAGTCTTCCTTTGGTCATGGAAGAGATCTTCTCCTTCTGGGCTGCTGCCAAGTTCTCCAGAAAGCGAGCTCTACAAACAAAATGCCAAACAGAGGCAGATGTTGACCAAGAGCAAGCCAGGGACGGGATGAACGGGATGGGACAAGCCACACCACCCCGCCTTGCAAGAAACCCTCACACTTCCACAGCAAGGCGCAGTCCAGATCACCACTGCTGGCCAAACCATGGGATGATACAGACACTCCTTGCACACACAAGCACAAACTCAGCTCCAGATTGGCGGCACAGCACCTCACCCTTGGTGGTGGGACACACTGCAGAGGCACAGCTACCCCTATCTACATCTGTGGGGCACCAACATACCAGGTGTCCTGCTGTCCCAAGCCAATGTTTTCCCCTCGGGCAACTGGGAATGAAGCACATTTTATGCACGCAGCACTGCTGAAGGTCTGGCTGCCAGCAGGGCTGGATGGACACCGTGTCACAGAGCCCAGCAAAACCCAGSGTCCTCTTCTGTCTCATGCAGCACCCAGCTTTCTGCTTGGCCCACACATTGCTGAGTCTCTGGGGGCCACTGCACCAGGCACAACCTAGCTGGACCATTTACCATGGGGAGAAAAAGGCCTGCATGGTTCATCCGCATGGTTCCTCTGCATCTTTCCCTATCTTCTCCAAGCCCTTTAGGCAGCAAGGCACCACAGTGGCAGGGATGCAGCATCCTGCCCAGCATCCCCGGTGCTGCCACCAACCAGGGCTCAGGCCCTGGGGAAGCTGCAGCGGGTGGCACGCAGCACGGCGCCCAGTCTGCACAAGCTGAGTCCTGCAGATACCCCTTGGCCCCAAGACCCTTGAGGAGCTGGGCTTCACTGCAGCCCTCATCCAAAATCAGGTCCAAGAAGCAGGATCCTGGGGATACATCCATGGCCCAGCAGGCTGAAACTTGTTGGGGGACCCTCCTGCATCTCATTCTTTGCCCACCCAGCACCTGAAGGGTTGCAGGGTCTGGCTGGGCTCCAGGTTGACGAAGCACAYGCGTAGAGACACACGCATGCCCCTACTTACTCAAACTTCCTCAGAATGGGCTTGTCCCCATGCAAGGATGGGGCATCCTCCCGCCTGAGGGAAAACAGGGGTTAGCCCCCGCTGTCAGCAGCCCCACCACGGCTCGTGCCTTCCGCATGCGCCCATCCTGCAGCACCACAGGGCCGAGCCAGCGCTGAGCAGCGGAGCATCTCCCAGGAGCAGATCCTCACGCCTGCCAGCCCCACAGCCCAACCCTGCCCTCACCCCACGCCATGCCAACACACCTCAAGCTCCATCGTCCCCGCTGACCCCACCATCTGTGGACACCTCCCAGGGTCTTGCGGACAGCACCACAAGCCAGGGGAGCCCCAGGGGAACAACCTCCCGTCTGGACATCAAGGGGCACTCAATGTTGGTGAGATGGGTACCCGTCTCCCTGTGCTGGGGCAGCTCAGCCTGCTGCTGGGAGGCTCTCATGGATGATGGTAGCCATCTGCCAGGGACAGAGCGGGGTCTGCCTGCCCTGCCGAGGGTGGCAGCCCTGACAAGGAGAGAGGGCTGCGGATGGGAGCCCTCCATGCAAACKCCTTGAGGGCGAAAGGAGGTGGGAGTGGGAAGCAGCATGGGGCAGGTCCCGGCTCGCACTAGCCCAGGAGCAGCAGGCCAGGAGGAGYCACCCACACACGCAGAGCCCAGGCACTTACCACGCAGGGGCTGTTTGGTGCAGCCTGCAAAAGGAAAGASAAGAAAGAGTGGGCAGAGGAGAGGATCAGCAGGACCAGAGAGGAGGAATAAGAGGGAAAGAGCTAGAGCGGGAGCAAGAGCTGAAGAAGAGCCAKGACCTACCTTCCCAACCCCAACCTCCCAAGCTGCAGCACGTTTTGGCCATAAAGGGTGAGAGGCAGAGCCAGTGTTGCAAAGCAGAAGGCCTTGCAGAGGGGGCAGGCAGCAGTGCTCCCAGCAGGCTCTACCACCACCTTCTCTCCTCAGATCGCTCTTCTTGGGCAGCCTGCTGAGCCAAACTGGCGGCAGGGGCTCAAGGACGTCGCGTTGAGGGAAGCAGGACCCTCTCTGCTCTCTTGAAGGGCAGATGGCCCCTTATGTCACATCTCTTTCCAGGCATGGGGCCTGCGCAGATCCCACTGCCTCCCCATCCCTTAGCACTTGCCCTGCCCGACCCTCTTGGGAGCCCCATACACAACCCGGCGGGGACAACGTCAGGTGGACTCCTCCTCCCTCTGCATGTCCTGGGTCAGGGCTCCACTGTGGGCTGCATCCTCTCCTGGCTGCTTACTTGTAAATGCTTCTCTCGCCCAGGCCCAGCGGCTGCTCCTTCTCGGCTGGAGGCGAGGACAGTGCCAGGCACATGCTGGCCGTGCTGTTGTAGATGCTCTTGGAGGTCCTAGAAGATGAGGTGACACTGAGAGCTTTGTGCCAAGGGACTCCTCACCACCATCCATGATAGTGGACATTGATACAGCTCCTCATGTCTCATCTGAGCACCCTTGAGTCCCCAGGAAATGAGGAACCAAGAGCACAAAGAAGAGTAGACCTGCAGGCAGTTGGTGGCCAACTGTGTCCAAGCTAGTGGGACTCCTTAGCTTTCCTGCACTCCTGCACCCCAGCATGTCCCAATGCACCCTGTTGGTTGGCCAAGGGTCCTAGGGCTAGCTCGCTGCCTGCTCCCACACACGTCCTCCCCATGGATCCCCAAAGCCACACTCACCCTGACGGGCTGTTCGGCTCATCCGTCCCCAGGGGAGCCTGGCTGTCCTCAGCGGGGGGCTTCTTCACGTCACTGGGAGACTCCAGCAGCTGCTGGACCTCATGGTTGGTGCTTGGGGAGCCGGTGCCAGAGCTGGGCTCTGCTCCGCTGCCCTGGGAGCGCCACCCGCGCCGCCCTTCATCCGTCTTCCTGCGCTCCTTGCGTCCCCCCGGCTGCGGCTCCTCGACGCCGTCTTCCAGCTTGAGGGCACTCTGCGAGGCGGACATGGGGCTGAAGCAGGAGCCACGSATCCCCCACACAGTCCTCCCAGGGGCCACCCACCCATGTTCTCCATGTCCTAACGAAGAGTTGGGTAGAGCTGTTGGCACAGAGCGAGCTGGGCAGAGCCTCAGCTCGTGCCAGGCTGCTGCCAGGCCCTGGATACTAGTGATAAATAAAATACCAAAGGGACACCCAACCCTCTGGGCACCCGGGTACCATGCAAGGTGTCACAGGAGGAAGTGCCGCTCACTTCATAGAGCAGGAACTGCTGCTTCAGGTCGAGGTCGGTGCCCTTGCTGCTCAGGTACTGCTGCACCACTCTTTCCATGCCTTGCTGCTCGAGGCAGTCCGTCACGTCATAGAAGGAGTCCTGGTCTGGGAGGGCAGCCAGCGTCTGAGCAGGATCAGAAGGAACCAGCTGGGACCGTGCTTATGGTGCTGAGCCCCACTGCGAGCCTGGGGATGACACTGGCTTTTGGGAAGCAAGGCTTTTGGGAAGAGAGCGAAGCCCTGACCTTGTTGATGAGYGTCATGGCGAACACCAGCAGCTCTGTGTCAGCTCCGTTGCGCTGCTCCAGGATTGCCATGAGGTTTGACCACGGACACGTGCCTGTGAGGGAGAGCGGCACACGCAGGTGGCACATGCGTCCCAGGTGTGGGGGTGCCAGCCCCTTGGTGCCATCGGGAACCCAGCTGGAAGGCAGCATGCTGCACCCTCCCCCAAGTGCCTGCACCCATCACCCCGGGCCTCTCTCTCTGCCCTGGCCCCGCCAGTGGACTCCTGGTAGACTGCACCACATCACAGTATCACCGAATYGCAGGATGGTTGAGGTTGGAAGGGACCTCTAGAGATCATCCAGTCCAACCCCCTGCTCCAGCAGGGACACCCAGAGCACGGGGCACAGGGTGGCATCCAGGCGGATTTGGAAGATCTCCAGAGAAGGAGACTCCACAGCCTCCCTGGGCAGCCTGTGCCAGGGCTCTGGCACCCTCACAGTGAAGAAGTTCTTCCTCACATGGAGATGGAGCTGCCTGGGTTTCAACTTACATCCATTTCCCCTTGTTCTGTCGCTGGCCACCACTGAGAAGAGCTTGGCCCCTTCCTCCCTACATTCCCCCTTCATGTCCTTATACATATTAATCAGATCCCCTCTCAGCCTTCTCTTCTCACATGCCACACACAGGCTGGCAGATGCACCACAGCATGACCCATGCTTGTCCCCGGAGGCTCTGTGCCTTTGCATGAGCCGCCTGTGCTCTTGATCGAGATGCTGTGCCACACTGATCACAGCTGGCACGTCCTGGCACAGAGGCACCCTGGCCATCACCACCCCCAGGTTGGCACGGCTCTCTGCAGGGTGAGCAGCCCTCAGCAGGGCAAGCTGGGCTCTTGCACCCACCTCTTGCCTGATCCAMGGTGTTCACAGCATGGATGAGGAGCTGGGCGTTGGGCTCCGTGTACTCCACGAACACCAGTAGCAGCTTCAGCGCCATCTTCACCACCAGGCGRTACTGGGAGGAGGCAAGGCAGCTGGAGGAGCTGCCAGTGCCCCCTTGCCCAACCATGAGCCCAGCGGCATGTGAGCATGGGTGGCACAGCCAGGCATGGGGATGCTGTGCCCAGGCTCTGCTGTTGGTGGCTCTGCAGGCAAGTCACAGCTCTGGAGGGCTCCAGCCCTGCAGTCACCCTCCTGAGAGCAAATGGGCCCTGGGAAGGCACTTGGAGGTTGTCTTGTAGGGCAGGAGCACAGTGCTATGGGGAAGGGGCACTTCAGAGACTCTAGATGATGCCCTCAGGGCGGGTGGGAGCAGGACTCAGCAAGGACGTGGAGGTGATGAGCCGCTAAACCCCATGTGAGGGCAGCAGGGGGGTAAATCCCACAAGGGGTGGTGCGATGGAACACGGATGGGCTATCCCTGGAGCCACAGGCAGGGAGGCTGGGAAGGGATGGCAAAAAGAGGACACAGCAGCAGGCACAGCCAGTTCTCCCAGGGAGCAGGCACTTACTGGGCTGCCGGAGAGCGTGTAGAGCCACTGGACGGTCTCAATGTGGTTGATGACGCCCTGCATCCCATCCACAAAGAGCATGATCTGGCTCAGTGCTGCAAGGTGAAGAACAGGTAGGGCCAAGCCACACACAGGGTAGCCCAGATGGACTCCCTGTCTGAAGTGCCAGCCTCCCTCCTCTGGCTTTTGAGGTGCTAGGGCCCACGTAGAGCAACATGCCCAGCCCACAGACAGCCCTTGGGCACTGCTGGGYCAAACACTCACCCCGGAGGATGTAGTTCTGGTAGTTCTGATCAGCTTCTGCCCCCACTTTGATCAGGCACGTCAGCCCWTCCATGTTGACAAACTCTGGCACAAGGTCCTTGTCCTCCTGAGGAACAAAGCACGCACGTCATCATGGGGCTGCCATCCCACTCCCCTGAAATGCATGGAGGTTATAGGGGACAGGCCAGGTCCCCTCGGTCCATTTGGAGCTTACTAGGCACATGAGCATCCTAGCTGAGCATCCTGCTCCAAAAAACAAGGGTTGAATCTCGGAAAAGAGGATGGCGAAAGAGAGGAGTCCCAAATCCCACATGTCCTATTCGTGACTCCAAGGGGCCAACTTTGGCCCCAGCCCTGGGAGGCAGGACATGCCACCAGCCCGAGGGCAGCGCACACCACGGAGGAGCTGGCGAAGCCACCCCTGTGGCTGCCCACCTTGGTACTGCCCAGGAGAATTGCCCAGATGCCAGGAAGCTCCAGGCCCTTGGGAAGAGCGTACCTGAAAGAGCTGCTTGAGGGAGAAGAGGGATCGCCGCAGCTCCGGCCCCTGGGAGTTGTACAGCTTCTCTGGAGGGGAACAAGAGAGATGGTGTCAACTGATGGGGACCTCCATGGAGCGGATCACCACAGCAGGGCTCTGAAAGCTTCCTGAAACTGGAAGTGGCTGCTCAAGGAAGGTGGTTTCGGAGCACCAACTATTCCATGGCTGGACACGCAGACCCCCACCATGCTTCCCTCTGGAAGGCCCCCAAAATGTAGGCACCAGCTCCTCCAGCATCCTTGGAATCTATAGCTCTGCTAAGTCCTCATGCGTTTAGCTATTCCCAGCACTGCAAGGAGATTGTCCCATCGCCCCACTGCTCCTCCACAGCCACCAGGCCTGGAGGTGGGAGATACAGTAAATTGGCAGGGAGGAAGCAGCTGCAGCTCCACAATGACCTTATCCCAGCCCCCACAACCCCCCTATTTTCTTTTCTGCCAGCAATGACATAAATATCCCCTCTGGTTTCCTGTGCGGAACCGAAACGGGAACTTGGACAAGATGCAGACTGCTTTTAACTGCCCCTCACCGCCCGGGCAGCCCTGATCCGTCCTGGGCGTCCATCCCAAAGCCGGGATGTCCCAGGAGGTGCCCTGRGGATGGCATGAGCTACTGGGAATGACAGTGCCAGACACCCAGGCTGTGCTGCCCAGAGCCGAGCAGCAAGGCAGCAGSGGGGCACCCATGGGTGCAGCCTATGGGGAGCAGCACCAGGAATGTTGAGCTTCATCCTCTGGCTGACAACGTCCTTGCTCCTCCCCATCTCCATGCTCCTGGAGTCTGCCAAGGCCCATGGGAGGTTTGGAAAGAGGAAGAATTTCAAGGGATGCCCAACCCTGCCTGGGGCAACGGGCAACTCTGCAGCATCATCTTTGGCTTTGTCCCATGGCCAGAAGGTTTCTGGACTCTGCTGGCTGTCCCAGTCATGGAAACACCACCAGACAAAGCAGATGAACACATTGAACATATAGTTGTGGCAAAAATAAATAAATCAAACCTATATGGACAGCAGGAGGGATAACTGGACTAAGTCACCTAGATCGAAGAAGAGTGGGCAGACTCCCTTGATGCGTTGACTAATCACAGCGAAAGTCCACAGTACGGAGCTGTCAGCACTGTCACACTTCACTGGCAATCCTGAGTCACCAAAACTAATATCATGGAAAGGCAGGGGGAGCTCAGGAACCATGAAGGAAGAAGAGGCTACATGCACCAGAGCAGCAGCAGGCTGCAGAACGGGGCAGGATGAGGTGGAAACAGCAATGCACGGGATGCCTCGGGGAAGGGGTGAGCCGAGGATGGGCGCAGAGAGCACCTGCAATTGGGAAGAGAACCCCCAAATGTGGATGGAGCTCCCAAGCCASATGCAGGGCTCCTCCAGGAGCTGTAGTGCCTAGCTGCACCCTGGAGCACCTTGTAGTGCTCCAAGCTGCACCTTGGAGCCACCTGCAAGGATGTGGCAGGTGACTCAGCATGTGACGGGAGTAAAGGTGCCCCTTGTGCCCATGGAAGCTCCGGTGATGGGATAGCTTCTGGAAGGTCCTGCCTGCTGCCTGGTGAACAGACAGGGGTCCAAGACAGGGGTGCTGGACGCCAGCTGCCTGGGGACAACAGCAGAGCCCCCGGCCTGCAGGAGGCCACTTGGAGAGGGCAGCGAGCGCAGCGCAGGCGCCCAGCGCTGCCCGTGGCCAGAGCRCGCCCGGCCTGAGGTGCCCCGTGGCCTTGTGCAGCCCCGTGTTTTCCTTGGCCAGCTTGGAAACCTCTGCCCGGTGCTGGGTGCTGAATCAGCCCAAGGAGGCTCGTTGGGCTGCGGGCCACGGCCCCYGCCTCTCCCAGCGCACCGCGGTGCCCAGCGCACAGAGCTGCTTTTGCTCTCATAGCTGCGGTGCTGGTTTCCTCCCGATTTCCTGCTCCGAAGGCCGAATCTGGCTCATCTCCTCGGCAGCATCCTGAGTTATGTGGGTCAGGAGCCAAAATAACGGGCCACAAAAACAAGCTGATGAGGGAGGTTTCAAGACATGCTGGCGAGCGGCTCTGCAAAACACGCGGTGCCGGCACCCGCCGCCTCCGCTGCATTGGGGGAGACGGAAAGCAGAGCAGCCTGGAGCTCCTCCGGAGCCTGGGAACCACGAGCAAAGAGCAAGCCCCGTGACCCCAGCCTTCCTGCAAGGGTAGGAAGGGGAGCACGTGCTGGGGACAGCAGGGCAGAGCGCAGCAAGGAGCCCCAGCACGCGAGATGCTGCGGGGCTGAGAGGGAGAGGAGAGCCAGCAGGCACAAACCCGCGTGCCTGCCCCAAAACCAGCTACCCTGGCCCCACGTGGCATCAGCGGCGGTAAGGAGCAAAGGGTGGAGCGAGGGCTCCTGGGCAAGGCAGGGATCTTCTCCCTGACATGTGTCCCGGTGTCCGCGGTCGCTGCTCAGACAGGCTGCAGACTGCTGTGACCAGCTGAGGCTTGTTTGGTGACACTCCAATCAAAGGCTCTTTTCTTTTTTTTTTTTTTATTTTTCCCATGCTACAGTCAGAAGGACTCGAGACTTCCAAGTATTTTGCTGGTTTTCCAAACAGGATGCCTGAAGCAGCAGCAGGGCTTTCTGCCGGCACCAGCTACTTGTTTGTGTTCTCTGAGGCTAAATTTAGAGCTTGTCTCAATGACCCAGAAGACTTGTAGTGTGGGAGCCTTTGGCTCCCAGCCTAAGGAGAGCAAGTTCTGATCTCCAGGGGCGGAGGAATTAACCCATGGGTGCCCCATCAAGCTGGGGGGGCAGTTTGGGTGGTCGTGCAGCAGGGCTCATGGGGCACCCCCGGACTCACCGATGATGGCATGGACTCGGACGGAGAGCTGCGTGCGCAGAATCAAAGTCGGTCGCCTTCCCTTTCTGGGATGAGAGGACACGCAATGTGAAGGTGCAGAGCCCCCATCTCCCCACCACGGCCCTGCCCAGCTCCTCACCCCAGCACCCAGGGTCGGGCACTTGCATGCTGTGGCAGCAACCCACAGGACCTCCGTGCCCACCCTCAGCCATCACCGGAGGGTCCATGGGCCCTGCTGCCTCGCATCACTCACTTGACCTCCTCGTAGAACCCCTCCAGGTCATCCTTCTGCTCCAGCAAGGACAAATCAAGGTCCAGGTAGTGTCCGGATGGCGAAACCTGCAGGGTGCAGTCTTCCAGCTGGAGAAACAGACAGTCCATGTGAGCAGGAAGCACCTGTGCCTGCGTGCCCAGCACCCCCAGGTGCCCCTGGTGCGGGCAGCTGCGGACACATCCCTCCCCACAGCCCAGCTCKGACTCCTGAAGGAAGCGAGCGACCCCATCAAGGCTCCTGCCTGCACTTCTGCTGCCCCAGCWCTTCCCAGGGCCCTCAGGTTCAGCGCTGAACCTGCCTGAGACTCTCTCCCACTCTGGTCTTGAGTGTCAGGTTCAAGTGCCCCATGGTCATGAGTCCCACCCTGCTTGGAAAGGACACAGTTGTTCCAGCCCAGGAGATGATGCTGGAGGCTGACACATCTGATCCACCAAGCTCCAGTTTACCTCCTCCCAAGGGTGATTACTTTATGGGGCAGATGARTCGCCTCTGACTGTACAGACAGTCTCCACTGACCATCTAGGTGCCCAGGCCACCRTGCACAGCACTCACAAAGTGCCCCAGTCACCAAGTTCCTCACATTCCAAGACCTTCAGAGACCCCACAGCAGAGCAAGTCCTGCACGGGTGTCCCAGCACCCAGAGCTCTGCAGGCCCYGGGCAGGCCCAAGCCAGGCCCAAGCCAGACCCAGCTGCAAGCCAGGCCTGGCGCAGGAGCGGGTGACTCACCAGGCCTGACTCAGCCTCCAGCTCATCTGGCTGCTATGCCAGGGAGGGAGAGCACAGGCTGAGGCCAGGCTAGGGTAAGGCGAGGGCACCCTCCCTAACAGCACTTGCTGCACATGGAGGAGAGAAAGGGGGCTGCTCAGCCCTCCAAAAATACATCCCTTCCCAGGCCCTAATTACAGAAACCTGCATGACTGAGGAGCTCACATGCTGAAGACCACAGCTCCTCTATCTTCAACTGCCCCCCTACTCCTTGGGCTTAAGGAAAGCCAAGGATCCCCTCGGCAAAGGCCAGTGCTGGGCAACTCTGAATGCAGCTCCTGCACCTCGCTCTGTTTGTTTGCCATTAAAATCCCGGTTTCTTGGGTTACGAGATTGCACAAGGCTCTCACTGCAGGAGGAGCACAACTCCAGCTGGCACTTGGAGACAGCCTTGAGAGCCCACAGAGCTGCTGCTGCCCTGCAGCCCGTTGCAGGGGACCAAAGCAGGGGCACCCCACACCWGCCTTGATGCAAGAGCCCCTGCACGTGAGCAATGTGGCCATGGGTTGGAGTATCACTGATGGAGATCGCTGGCTTGGAGACCTGCACAAGGGTTGTCCTCTCCTGGGGGACCTTTCTGCACCTCTCCACGGTCAGGGAGCATGTAGCCGGTGCCAGCTCCAGTCAAACACAGCAAGTGGCAGCTCCCACACAGCTCCGACAGAGAAATACCAGCTCTGTGGGGCTGCCAAAGGCCAGGCAAGGCAGAGTTAATGTCTACCCCTCCTCCTGGGACCCAGCTCCGTGTCCCAGCTGGCTGGGAGGCCAGGCCCCTGGAATGCAGCTGTGAGTTTCCCATGCGAGCTTGGCAGCGGCGGAGCTTCCCGCCAGGGATGATCCAAAAGCGGAGCCCCGGGTTCGGATGCTCACCCTCAGGCTGAGATGGGGACGAGCTGTTCCAGGTTCGGGCTGCCCGAGGAGCCCTTCCTGCACTGGAGAGCACTGACCACCCCAGGAGCCTGCAGTGGGGTTGCTCCCAGGCCCTTGGACAAGGTCTGAAGAGGTGTCAAAGGGTCTGCACCAAAGCCTTGCAAGACTTGGGCCTCAGCCTGGTGATCACCCTGCTGGGGACAGCGTGTTTGGGCCACAGGTACTGATAGCAGCACCTCTCCAACCTGGAGCACGAGGAAGGTGGAAGTGCTCAGGCCTCCCCGATCAGACCAGCACACGCAAAGCCTGAAGAAGACACACAGAGAAAACACACGTAACCGGCAAGTGAGTTCTCAGGGAACACCTGCAGTACTGTCCTCCCCAAACTGTGGGCACGCACAATGGAGGTATCTCCACCTAAGCCTGTCTAGATGTCTCYACAGCCAAGGCTGACCAACAGACACATCTAAAATGAGCTGAACTTTCTCCTGCTGACTGGCATCTCAACAGCTTGCTCAAGCAAGGCCCTCTGCAGAATTAGGAGAGCCACATCCTCCCCCAGGTGTCCCCATCTCCCCAGGAAGAGCTGCCCAGCATCAAGGGCTGCTGTGYTCAGAAAGCAGAATCACCACCGCCTCCTGGAGAGCCCAAACAAGAGGCCYACAAACCTGTGGGCCAATCAACTAAACCAGCCATCTCCTTGGACCACCTTGAACTGTCTTAGGCTGGCACTAAGAAGTGCAGGCACAAGCTTAGAATAAGTCCAGGTCTCCATCCTCAAGCCCAGGACACCCCATCTGCCTTCCTAGGCCTGTCTTGCTCACACCAAGCCCCCATGGAAGCCAGCAGAAATGATGATCCTGGGCAAAAGCCAGGAAGGTCATCGTGGCCCCTGAACTTCAACACTATCATGGAGCAAGAAATGAGACCCTGCAAGGGTTTCTTGGCTTCTCTTGGCTCTTTTGGAGCCCCAAACCAAGCTGTTCCACAAAGAAAATGCCTCCTGTGTCACGCTGCTTTCTATATGCATCAGCCCTACATCACAGGGACGCATTTCAAAACCAGCTTGGGGCTGCTCATAAGTGACCATCAGCTTCAGGCAGCTGATGGGGAAGAGCCAGCCCTGGGCTGGGATCAAGAGAAAAACCCCCAGACGCAGGAGCCTTGTGCTTCCTGGAGACCTCATCTGTGCTGGTTTCTTACCCCACGTGAGCAGGGACTCTCCAAACCTCAGTAACTTCCAACCCCCTTGCGGGTCCCACATTGCCTATGACTACACAGCATTTTGGTCACTTTTTTTTCCTCTTCTCACGAGGAACAGTGATGCATTTCCTTGCAAAAGTCACCGTTTTGAGTAAGCGAGGCCCGCCTAAGTCAGGCTCATTCATATTCTCCCCGGTTAATCGAAGGGCCCTGGGGCCCAGCTGAACGGCTGCGGCTCTGCGCATCGCAGAAGGCCCCGAGCAGCAGAAGACGCCGCAGCAGCCGCCCCGTGCCCTGGGGAGCAGGCAGGGCACTGATGTGGCGGCACGCAGGACTCGCCGGGACTTGTTCCCCCTGTGCCTCCAGGGCAAGGAATCTGCCTTTGGCTCCTTGCCCTCTTCCAGCAGGCGACGCATCTCAGGGCTCTGAATGGCCCCGGTCACCCCCATCCCTGCTGCTTCTGGCCAACCTGTCCCCACATGTCACCACGCGCCGCAGCTCCGGGGAGCTGTCCTGATAGCAGAGGAAGGAAGAAGCTCCCAGGCAAGGCAGGAAAGGGACCGGCCCCATCTAGGCCTGCCCACAACATCTCCATCCCCTTCCTGCCGCGGCTCTATCGCAGCAAGGCATGGGGTTCACCAGGCTGAGAAGATGCCCTGAGGACATACAGCAAACATCCTTTTTTTTTGTGTTTATCTGACGGGAAAGGAAGCACTTCTGTGCCTTTCTAACACTTTCTCTTCCTTCAGCAACAAGTTTCCCAACTTCATGGGGATATGAAGTTGGGAAACTCTAACAATCCGGCCAGTTCTCTGGCTGCCTCAACCCTTGGAGCACAATCCGAGATCAACCCTTGATGTGGAGATGCCTCCTCAGCCAGGTCCGATGCACATGGAGATCCGCCACATTGCTTCTCTCGGAAGGATTTGGGGAGTTCASCCAAATACTTACTCTTTCTTCCAGCTGAGGCAGAACAAGGGCACTGYTGACCACAAGGCACCTGAGACTCAAAAACGCCTGGGCATCCCATGCATTTCCCTGTCCTTCCAAAATGCACCTGGGCTCACAGTTTATGTGACCATGAAGCCTGTTCACGATGAAWTTTGTATGGCCTAAAGTATGATCAGATGCCAGAGCCCTGTGGAGATACTTGCAGCCTCCATCGCTCCTATACCATCAGACAAACACCTTTAGGACATTCACTTCTTATATCCAAGATGATATATGCTTCAAATACAAGTAGAAATCACCTTGATGCAGCACAGTACGTGTCCTGAGGCAGAAGGAAACCAGTCTGTCTTGGCTCCAACACCGAGACAGACTGGACTCTGCAGCTACGGGATAGCACGGGAGGGTCGGGAGGTTTCCAGCTGAGCCAAAGAAGCAGCGTGTATTATTTTAGTAAAGACCGAGCAGGACGATGCCTCCTGCGAGGGTGTTCATGGCTGGACCGCTCGGTTACGGCCTCCTGCCCTTTCCTGCCTGATGGATGGGAGCAACTGCAGCTGCAACGGGTGGCCTGAGCCCCCGGGCAGGGATCCTGCGATGTGTCCCAGGAGCAGGYGACCAAGGAGCAGCAAAAACTGCTGTGCTGCAAGAGTCGGCTCTAAATTTTTAACAGCACACAGCAGGAACTGTTTCAACGTAGTAAATGAGCAGGGACGCCRCTAATTCCCCGGCTCTGCAGCTTGCAAGGCATCGAAAGGCTACCGGGAATGCTGTGTTGACTCAATGACTCCACAGCCACCCGCCGGGATGTACATCATCCGTCCGACCGGACGCATGTCATCCTGCCGGCCGCTCTGGAAGCGGGTCCTCCAGGAGGGCTGCAAGCGGCCGCTTCTCCTCTGTTGCTTTTGCATGGAGACGTTGCTGCTTCTCGTTGCTCTCCACCACCGCGTTCAGGAGATGCTGCCGTCTCCTCCTCCAGCCGCTCATGTCCAACCTGGACCTCTTGGGAAGCCTGATGGTTCCAACCCCTCCGCTCCTCGCTTTCCTCGAGGGGAAACGCGACCTCTCGCACCAAGTCGTCTGCTCTTCCCCAGGTTTCCGGGGGGGAAGGAAGGCTCCGGCCGGCTCCGGCTTGCAATTGTTTGGAAAAATCCCTAGATGCAGAGATAGCAGGGCCAGCACAGAGCACAGTGGTCTTGGCAGAGCAAGGGGATGGGTGAAACTGGGTGGCCTAGCTGGGGTTAGGARGCACCCAAAGCACATCGAGGGTATGCCACCCAAACGCACTACAGAAACGCTGGAAACTTCAAAAATAAATAAATAGAAGAGTGATTATCGGCTCAAACCAGAACAATACGGCTGGCCGCTATAGAAAATAAAGTGGGAAGATATTTCAGGCATGAATGTGCTTTCCGGAAAGCATGAAAAAGCCATCAGGTCCCGGTCAGGAAGACAAAGTCCTTAGGGCGTCCCTAAAGGGAGCAGGAGGTGACGGCCAGAAGGATGCACTGCATCGACCACGCAAGAAGCTCCCTGCAACGATGCAGCTCCAGCCCGGAGCACGTGCCAGCTTGCGGCCTCACTCCTTTAGGGAACAACTTCACTGGCCCAAAGGTGAGGAACGTTGCTGCAGGACCTCGTTTGTGCCCGGATGGTCGGGGATCCTGACCTTTTCCCGCCTGTTGTCACCAAATCCCCTGGAAGCCACTGGGCAGCAGGGTGGTGGCTCTCCAGAGCCAGCGTGCCCAGCTCGGAACAGCTCCAGCCTTGGCTGGGGCCACCTGCATTTTCAGAACAAGTGCTAAAAAGGAAAGGAAAATCGGGCTAATTCGTTTGCTAATTTTAGCGCCCCGAGTCAYGGCGCTCCAAGCATTACCTGGCACAACGGGCATGTCCAGAGGGATAAATCCTTCGGGAGCCRGCGCCAGGGCAAGGAGGCCTGTGCAGCCTCCAGAGTGACAGCTCCTAATCTGGACCGCCAGCGCCAGCTCAGGTAGCCTTGCTCCATGGGACACAGATCCAGGTGCCCATGGCAAGACGCTCGTCATTRGGACATCAGCTCCTGCAAGCCCTAGTCCCGATTCCCTTGGTGTCACATCAGGACATGTCACAGCTGTCCCGCTGCATGGTCCTCCTCGCATCCATGGGACAAGAACTCTGTTTATAAGCCCGGAGCAAGGTCCTGGCAGCCTTTCCAGCACTTTGCCAAGGAAAACTCTGTGCTCTGTGGAAAACTTGGGTAGAAGCACCTGGCATTGGCCATATGTAGGGAGCAGAGCCTCAACCCTAAGGGAGCCCGTTAGCCTCACATCCAACACATCTCTCCAGACACAGCTCTCCTGCCTTGGGGGACCTCTCCGATTCAGCTTCTGATGTCACCCACGGTGGCTCTGGCCTTTGAGGAGAGCGATCCCATGACAGATGGCTCCTGCCCAGGGAGGAGGACGCATGCCTGAAATTTGAGTTGGTTCCGTCCGTCACGTCTTGGGCTTTTTGTGCCCAAACAACGTCCGTGGAGTCACTGGCTAAAAATCCCCTGACTGTGACAACACAAGAAGCCGCCGCCTTGCTCCAAGAAAAACGAAGGGCCACATTCAACCGAGTACATTTGGGGCCATTAAAGGTCCCTTGCAGCTAGTCCCTTCTCTCCTGGCAAAGAGAGCCGGTGTAGGGAGCCTGTTTCCCCCTTCTGTTATCCCATTTTCCAGCTACAGCTCCAGGAAGGGAATCTGCCTCCTCTGCCGCCTTCTGCTCCCTTTGCCTTCAGCCCCGCGAGATGCAAAACAGAAATGTTTGGCCGTCGCCAGAGCCCAGGGGCGGCAGCCACGTCCCCAGCAGGGCACCAGCACCGCTGCAGCCTCCACCCTTCCTGCTGGCTGCTCCTTCCTGCGGCAGAGAACGGGGCTGCACGCGGGTGACACTCGGAGACACCATCTCCTTGTCCCTCTGCAGCAGGTCACTGCTCACCCAGTGGCTGCACAGCACTCAGAGGGGTCCCCGAGGCCACCGCTGTCCCCACGCCGGGCACCTGAAGCAGACGAGGCTCAGCGCTGGTCACATCCCACCGGCAGCCGGCATGGGAAGGGAGGCTGTGGCAACACGACAGGGACAAAGCCGTTGTCGCTGCTTCCCAAGCGTGCGGACACTGACGTTGGACCTCCCATGGAAGAGCAACGGGTCTAACCCAGGATGGCCACTTTGCAGYGGGGGCTCACGTATCCCTGCGGCTCTGCCCGCGTTTGCAGTCGTCTCCCCGGACAGGGGCCACGTCCCCATCCTCAGGGCCCTGCCACAATGTGAGCGTGGGCAAGTCCTGTCCTGATGCACTCTCCAAACCCTCCTTCCTTGCAGGCAAYGGGTCCAAGACATCCCCTGCTTGTTGGCAGCCTGCAGGTCACAACTGTCTTCTCGAGTCGTTGCTCCCTTTGCGCTGTGCTGCCGGCAGAGCTRCTCACAAGCAGATCCAGTTCCTTGTGGAAAGCAGGAGGTCCCTGACATGACCTGGGCACCCAGGACAGACCCAGGCCCGGAGCCTGAGCGCAGCACTGTGGATTGATGCTGCTCCATGAAGCACCTGTTTTCCTGGCAGCGCAGGGGCACGAGGGATGTTTTGGGGACGACGCAGCTCCGGGGGCAGCTCCGCTCCTCACTGTCCCCTCCACCCAAACCAGCAGAATGTGCCCCTGCCTTGGCGACAGGCTGAACCCGCTTCACTTGGCCGCCACCAGGGTTATATTTTAGGGTGGTGACGACACTTAAGCTGCCCCGCGACGAGGCACCCGCACAGTTGCACCACCTGGTCCCAGTGCCGGGCCCTGTGTCACGGCAGGAGCCCCCAGCCACACAAGACACCACAAGCCCCCAACCCGCGACCCCCGCCCCAGCGCCACCTCCCACGGTGCCATCCCCGACCCTCACGGAGAGCCGCCGCTCCCCGCCCGCCGCCCCGTGCCCGTCGCGGCGGTGCCACCCCGCACCTCCTCCCCGTCCCCCATCCCGGCGCCCGCGCGCTCTCACCGGCAGCGGCGCGGCCAGCAGCCGGTGCAGCGCGGGCAGCTGCGCGCCCAGCGCCTCCGCCTCGGCCACGGCGAACACGGGCGCCCGCCGCGGCTCCGGGAAGCTGCCGCAGCCGAAGGGATCGGCGTCCTCCAGGTACTGCACCCGGCAGGGCACGGCCGCCTCGCCCATGGCGCCGCCGCCG